AAATAACACATAGTCATGTAAATATCTCTACAAATTTTGTTGCATTCTGATGTAAATTCAAAACTGGACCTGTGTGTGTGTGTGTATTTTTGTGTGTGTGTTCTGTGTGTTGGAGATCTCCTTTCCAACAAAGCGTACTGTAAATAATAGCAAGTTATGGTAATTTAGTGTTTGTCCACTAGAGAGCACTGACAAGTTTTCCATGCAAAGGTAAATCTCCCACATCTCCCACGGCACCAGATATAATTTTTTATTAATATCAGTTTATGTTAACAGCGATCGTCAGCTGATGTGATTGCCGAGATTACAATCGCTCTTTACCGCCGAACACAACCAATAAACTCGTCGTTAATTAACCCGTTCGCGCCCGGAACGAGCTCGTCCTCCTCGGAGCGCCCCTCATTGCCGTCCGCCGTCTGCCGCCCCCACCCCCCTCCCTCTCGTTGCGTTCTCTATCTCTTCCCATCTCTCTAACAGCTGTTGTGTTAAGGTTACAGTATACCTTGTGGAGGGGCCTTCTCTTTCATCTCTCCCAGCGGTTTTATGGCGCTGTGTGAATGTGCAAGGCTTTTTAATTAGGCTCTGCACCCAGACAGGCCCCAAGGCTGAGGCAGCGCCGCTCTGTCTGAAGCTCACACACTCCCTCTCTCCATTCCTTTTTCACTCTGTGTCTCTCGCTCTGTTTTTTTTCCGTCCATCTCCAATGTGTCATCTCCTGTAATCTCTCCGTTTTTTTTTCTCTTTCTCTTTTTGTACAGTGCTATTTCGCACCATGCCACTCAAACACTCGTCCACAGATATCTTCTTATTTTCTCTCGCCCCCCTCCCTCTCTTTCAGCACAACAAACCGCTGTACTCTTTTGAGGACAATGCCGACTATGTGTATGACGTCATGTGGTCGCCCGTGCATCCTGCCATGTTCGCCGCCGTGGACGGCATGGGCCGCCTGGACCTGTGGAACCTCAACAACGACACCGAGGTGTGTGGATTTGGGTCATGGTGGGCGTGTTTTCTGGGTCGTCTTGTTCTCTGTCAATATGCGTGCCTGTTTTGGTGTCCTCCGGGTCTGTTGCTGGTGCTCAGCCCGAACCGCACAACCCAATACCCAAAGCTCTCTTCTTCACACACACACACACACACACACACACACACACACACACACACACACACACACACACGAGATTCAAGACTCCCCTGTAGGCGTTTCCCACAGCTCTCGCTTTAAATCTGACTGGGTGACATCTTCTCGCTCTGGCTCCCACCCAGCCACCCCGCTAACATTTCTACAACCTCTGCCTAACGTTCAGACGACCTCAGAGACCGTCTTCCTCCCAAACTGCGTCCCGTCAGAGGAGCGCACAGATGTGTCGGCGACCGCAAGCAGAGAGCCCCAGCCCTCAGTCCACAGTCCCATGAAAAATAATGATTAAAAAAAAAAAAAAAAAAAGAAAGTTCAGGCCAGTAAGGGTTGAGTTTTGAAATGCTGTGGCGTGACAGTTATTTTTGAGATGAGTGCATTTAAGGCCATCTGGGTGCTGGAATTCGACATAATCATGTGTAGTATTAAGCAAAAAAATAAAATAAAAGGAGTGTATAATGTCTACTATTGTGAGCAGATAGTTCTCAATCCTATAATTGGGTTCCTTCATTTCATTTGTCATTAAACATGTATTTCTGCTAGGGTTTTTGATTAAATTATGTTTGCTTAATCCAGACCTTTTCACACAAACGCTGAACATTTTGAGAAATTCTACCTTTGACTTAATTATATCGATTCATTAAGGAAAACATGTTATATCTCTTAAGGACATAATTGTATTTTCTTAACAGAATCATTACATTTACTGGAACAGTTGTCTTTATTTTGAAATAAAGACAAAAACATGTATTTTACATAAATCTCTTTATTAAAGGGTGTCTTTTTTGTCTTTATTTTTAAAATAAGACAACTGAAACATTTCATTCTGAATTATACTGCTTTAAGTTGCTATGTTGGTCCGTGTATTCAAATATCCAATTATTAACCCATAACTTTTCAAACAGAAAACAAATATGAAATTTGTAAATATGTGGAAAAGCACTTCCTACCCACTGTTAAGTACTGTTGTTATTATCCCATTGGATAATAACAATGGGATTGTTATTATCCCATTGTTAGAGTGCAGTCTGTCATGATATGTTTGAAATACCAAATTAAAGAAATCTGAGGGGCCCAGTTGTTGTAATTACTTATTTGTGGCCCAAAGCATACACAAAAATGCTTCATCAAACACAAAATTGACCTTGTCGTTTAAGTGTTTTGATTTAAATCTGCAAAACGTAGCCTTGATGACCTGGACAGCTTATGCGAGGAGGAATAATCAATGATTTGTCTGGTTAAAACATCAGGAAATGCTACCGAGGAAGTCTATTTCCAACTGGAGATTGTGCAAAATAATTGTCATTTTTCTTTACGTTTAGATTTTGCCCTTCTGAAAAAATGTACAGAAAAAGTGTTTGGTTCTTCCTGAAATGTTATGCTCCAAAACACAAGATTTATTTACTTTAAGGTTTTGTATCACAAGTGGCAGTAAATGTGGTCAACACTGTTTGTACGTGCATACATAAAGTTTATCTTTTACAGACTAGTGAACCTCTAGGGTACAACTTCTTCTTCACACAATTCGAGCTTGGTAGGGAGTGAACTTGAATAGACCATTGTCTCTTTCGGAAAAAACAAACAAACAAATCAAAACAAGCTTTGTCTCCTTGCTGGAACTTTATGTTCTGTGGACTATACTACAAGTTATTTTCATCACACTTATTATAAATCAAAAAATGTAACTTCAACCACGATTCTGTAAAAAACCTTTCTGTCTCTCAACCCTGTCAGCAGACAACCTTTGATCATTCAGGTAAAAGTCCAGATAAAAGGATCCTCCATTCTCCTTCCTCCTTGGTTTCCATGGACACACCAGTGACTTCAACCTTAATGCAAGTCTGCGTCAAGACAGATGCTCTCACTCCTCTCAAATAATGAGCTCTCCCTCTTTTCCCATTTTCTCTACCGTACAAGACCCTCGTGTCGTCTCACTTCAGCTCCCATCTCTGCGTAGTTTCTTGCCTTCACGCGCGCCGCTGTGGTTAGCAGCGGCTCCTCTATCTGCGGCGCATATTCCCATGGTTTCCTCAACAGCAGCCTTTTCACAGACAAAGGAAGAGTTCATTATCGGGGGCTTAACTTGCCTAACAATGTGCTTTATGAGAAACATTTGCACAGACGAGCGCTCACGCAAACGGATGCATCGGACGCACGCACGCTCACTCACACACTAGCCAGTCTGATAGCAACAGGCTTTCATTGTTGCCATCATATTAAAAACACAGAGTCATAACAACATTAACAGAGCAGCGTAGCGCGCCTGGTTCTCATTTCCACCACACACACAAGCAGACACACGCAGTTTTAAAGCTCTCCGTTCAGATCCACTCTTGCGGAGGAAGGGAAGCTAGTGGGCTAATGGCAGTCAGTCTGTGGTTAGCTCTGCTTTAAATGCGCAGGAGCTCGGTGTGCGAGGAGACGCGATGCCAAGGCCTCTGTCTCCACTGGTGACATGTGTCAGACTCGCCTGCCACATGTCAGGAACAGTTTATGGAAACGCTGCAGATGGTTTTGGGTTTTCAAAGGTGCAACATGAGCACTAAAAGACAGAAATCAAGATTCGGCTCAGCCCCCGCCAGCAAACGCGTACGGGTTGTTTCCAGAGTAAGTCGGGCTCGCGTGTGTCCGATCGAATAAAAAAAAAGCCGTAAATGTGACAGCTTTGTATTCGTAACCTCCAGCACGTCCAGATGAAGCCACCCTGTTCTTGTGGTAAATTTGCTCTGTAATCACATAATGTAATGTTGCAATTTTTCAATAAACATTAGGACACGTTGCAATTAGGGTCACTAAATAAAATGCGGTAAGGTTTCGGGAGGCCTGTCATGGTACGTGGCTGTTTATTACTCTATTTTGTCTTCAGAAGAAAAGAAGCCTACTGTGAATAGTCTCGCCATTAAAGAGGGAATCCTTTGCAGCGGCACTGCCATGAAGTAATAACAAAAAAAATAAGGCAACGTTAATAAACTTTTACTGTTAGCAAATGTTTCATTGTGGAAGGTAGTATCTAATTAGTAGTTTTACTTTTCTTGTTTGAACTATTATTTTGCTGATGGTTCCGTCAGACCGCCAATAAGTGCCGAGTTTAAAATTGAAATTAAAACTGAATGATAAAAACTGATGAAGAGACATATTGTGACTCGGTGGCAAACAGATGGATATTTAAATACTTATTATCATTCCTCCTGCCCTTCCCTGTGTCCTTCCTTCCTTTTTTCCTTCCTCCCATTTTTTCTTTATTGTGTTCTTCCTTCCTCCCTCCTTTCATCTCCGCCCTTCTTCCCTTCCTTTCTGTATGTCCCCTGTCGTTATAAATCTTTTTGTTTCTTGTTTCCCTCCTTGTGTCCTTCCTTTCTTCCTAATATCAGTCCGTATGTCTCTCTGTCCTCTCTGGCTTCCCTCCTTCCGGTCTGTGGGTTTTCCAGGCTCCACATTTGAGACACACCTACTGCAGAAATATTTATCATATTAGTTAAATTAGCAAAAAGAACTCACGACTCAATAAAGTTGAGCCTGGAAAGTGTGAACTTGCACACTGAAACATGTAAGAACCTTTACTCTGTTCCCTATCACAGCATAACTGTCTTTCTACAAAGTGGCTAACACTAAAATATTAGCACATTCGGTTTGGTCCTCAGCTAAACCAGGCAGCCATAGATGCCGTTGCCATGTTGAGAAAATGTCTGGCGTGAATTGTGACGCGGAAACCTGCTCCGCAACATATTTTGTAAATGTAGTTGTGACACGTTATCATCTAATTTCGTGCTACAGCATGCAGACGCTTTGTCAGCACTGATGAAGATTCCGTCACCTCAGCATGTTTAATGCTTGAATTAGTTTGAACATACAGAAGTCTGGCCGGTTTTCTGATTAATTCATTTTTTGAACAGTTTGTGACAAACTCAGTGAGGTGCAATGACGTTTTAGCCTCAGATGGTTAATTGACAACTAAGTCTGAAAAAAAAAGACAAAGTGATTTCTTGCACCAGCAGCACCCAGTACTTTTTACAGCAATCATCCCGATATACTCACACTATGCAAAATGGAGGCACATCTGTGTCACAAAATACTTTCTTGACAGTTAGATCTATGTGTAGAGGTCATATCTGGTTATTGTCTTGTGTTACAATGAACATTTTTTGGTTGTGAAGATCTTTCACCTGCACAAAACTCGCAAAGCTTCTTCTGACGGGAGAATATCACTTCACTGGAAAAGGAAACAACAGGTAAATATAATGTTTTTTCATCATGAATTTATTGTATTGTTTTTTTTTTTCCCTCCTAGGTGCCAACTGCCAGTGTGACCATTGAGGGAGCTTCGGCTCTGAACAGGGTTCGCTGGTCGTCGGGAGGGAAGGAGGTGGCCGTGGGCGACTCAGAGGGCAGAGTTTGGATCTACGATGCAGGAGAGGTACATAGAACAACCATGGAGAGGTTCTGCTGCTGGGGCACAAAATAGTCCTGCTGAGGTTTTCCTTTGCTGTTGTGAACAAAAAGTACATCCTGAAAATTTTCCACTTTTGGTTAAATACATTAATATTTACTGTGTTTCTTTTTTTTTTTTTGCTGAGGGTTCACGTTACATTCACATCGACTCCTATGATGCATGGCTGAGAGGCTCTCACGAGTTTCATTTCCAATCAGGTCCTAATTACAACAGAGGTGCAAAAAGCATGAGGAAACTAGAATAAAAACAACAAAAATTGCAGTACTGTATTAATACAGCTGGACAGGAGCAGATAGAGAGATTTTTAATACCAGTAATTTGACCAAATAGTGTTTGTAAAATAAATATCGGGTCTCGGTTCATCATGGATGTCTATGTCTGTGTCATTGTTTTTAAAATAGCGCAAAGCACGTGGAACTGAATCTTACTCTCTGAATTTTTGGCAACGTTTTACTTACTTATCAGGAACAAGTCCGAGTTTTTACAAAACCATTTTCGGCTTCGCACTGCTGTATGCAACATTTTATTTAATGCTTCTTGAAAGCGCTCCCATCACAACGCAGCCAGCTAGCCATTCAGCCCCAGCCGACGTGCTTTAATGCTTGAAGATGTTTTTAGCTTAGCTGCTCAGCTAAGTTTAGCATCTTTTTTGTGTGGTAAGCTAGAGGGGAGTCGAGCAGAGCTGGTGGCCTCAGTGCTGGGTTGATGGTAATGAAGAGGCCTCAATAAAACTGAGTGAAGCTGAAAGGCTTTATGGGTCCTTTAGGCAGGGCTTTGTGTGTGCGTGTGTGTGTGTGTGTGTGTGTGTGTGTGTGTGTAATAATGGGGTATTTACTGTAAACTTGCCCATGTAGCTAAAACTGGGAAGAGAGTATTTTTTTTTTCTTAAAGAAAAGAAAAAAGAAGTATCTCTGGGAATAACAGCAAGTCTGGAGACTTTTCCAGGAAGGACAAAATACCAACAATTTCCATTTCAGTTTCGTTTTACTCTAAGCATTTTATTTTAAGCATATTTACCATCGGGGTTATCTATTAAAACTTTACAAGTGTTGCCCTGTGTGGAAAATCCGAATCACAGGATAAAACTCAGTCCCTGTTGTCTTGTACATTTCAGAGTAATGAAACTCCTGATTTTCAAACCTAGGCGTCATTAGGAACAAGCCTCTTGTAGTCGTTCTGCTACTGCTTACGCCGCTCATCAGCGCTACGTTTGCCCCCCTCTGCCCCCCTCCCCCCACTTCTCCTCCGTGACTGTGGCCAGGTTTCTGATTAATTACAGCCTAGCCATGCGAATGGCTTGCAGACATCTTGGGTGGTGGCTGCGGCTTTTGTCCCACTCCTTCTCGAGTCCCGACTGTGCTCAGCTAAGGAGAGGAACGACGTTCGGTTTGACCCCGACGGTCTGTGCAGCTCGTGTGACGGATTTTCCATCCTGACGACGCGGCTCCAACACTCGACAGATCGTTGGATGTGTTCTCGCTGGCAAACTGGTGGTCTGTCATAAAATATACACCAATCAAATTAGCATGATTATGTTTCATTTTTCTTTGGTAGTAATTGAATGTTTTCACTGTTAGGAATTGGAAGAATTGCTGCTAAACCCTGAATAATAATAATCATTATAATTTAAACCGAACTGTTAATTTGGATGCTTTTAACAAAACAAAACTAAATTTTTTCTTTCATAACGTCCCCTCTAATTGGTGAATTAGGCATTTCTGGTAATTTAGTTCAGTTCAATTAAAAAATATTCCCAAAGGGAAATGAAATGTAACTCGCATTATTCATATCTCTTCTAAGAGTTGTTTTATCGCTGTGAGCAGAAAGGATCTCCTGTAGTGGCCTGTATTACTGTGGTTCTGAAGAGGTCCCTGTCTGAGGAGAATTGTTTTTTGTTGTGCAAAAGTATGACGAAGAGGAAGCTGTGTGTAATGTTTTATTTGATTTGCACAGTCATATTCAGAGGAACAAAACCAGCCCCCTTTATGAGCTTGTTTAGTCTTTTTTTTTAAGTCTTTCGTTTTGATGCTGCTTCTGTTGGGATTGCAAAAGAGATTAACAGATTTATACTGATGCACCTGTATCACTTTTAAAACTTGTTTTACACAAAAACATTTCAAAGCATTTTGCATTTTCACTGTGCATTTCACACACAATCAACATGTGACACATTACTGCTTTGCTAGTGCTTGTATTTCTTACTGTGTCCTTCAACAATAATGCAATTTTCACTGAAATTAAGAGTTCTTATGAAACTGAAACCAGAAATGTACATACACTGTGCAAACAAACAAATATAAATGTTCTTTTTTTCACTCACATTTAATCAGACTAAGCTTTTCCCTTTTTAGGTCCTTTACCAAAATTGTCTATTTGCTAAATGCTAGAATAACGACACGCATCACTCTTTCGTACTCTCCTCAAAGCCAGAAGTGTACATACACTGAGATTAGACCGTCTTTAAACAGTCAAGACAAAACCAGACACGCTTCAAGCTCTCTGCTTCCTCGTGTGACATAATGGAAAATTTAGCTACGATATCAAGGAAGTAATTGTTGGTCTAACTAACCTAGCAAAGGAAAGCCTTGGTCAGATTTAATATCAAATTGTGGGATCTAAAAGATTTCAAGCCATTGTGACAGTGTGAAAAACAACGTGCTACATTCGAATTGATAGATTCAATCCAAACGGAAACTTGTGCAGTTTTAAACACGTCAAGAAAAGCCAAAACTTTCCCTAAATTCGCTACAGCTCTATAACAGATTTAAGCTTTTTGTGATTTATAGTGCTGCTCTTTCTCATTTACTGCTAGTTGATTCTTTTCCACATTCGTCATTTTATCGTCGCTAGGTCGACGATAAAATGACTGCAGGAGTCATTCCCTTATGACTCCATTCCTCAGAACTACCAGTGTCATTCATTTCCACTAAACGCCATGTCACTTGAATTCAGTTCACTGGAAAACATCTACACAAGTCGTCATATTCAACTGACCTTTTTTCTGTGCCACTTTCTAAAAAATAGGATAGACAAGAAAACACTTCAGAAACAATCAGAAAATAAAAGCTCCCTCTACTGTCCATTTAGTAACTACTAGGTTTAAAACAACTGGAACTGGAACAAACGGGGTGAAATAAAGACCCAAGGTAGTTTTGCCTTCAAGCTCAGAGTAAACAAGGGTGAAGGAGGTAGATAAATCAATATGTAAAGTTTATTGTTGGAGTACAGATTTTGCTGCTGCAATGAACATAAATTTATTGTAAGACCTTTCCACACATTTCCCAATCATTGTGAAGGGTGCTGTTTTTAAAATTAACTAATTATGCCCTCTCCTTTACAGCCTCCTGCAGTGGCAGACGTGTAGCTCATGTGATACTAATATGCTTACAAAATGTTTTTATCTTCATTAAGCTGTGCGCAACTATGTAATATCACTTAAGGCTCTCTCTTTCTCTCTGTGTGTTTACATGTTCGACTTTTGTTTACTTCTTAGGCTATTTGTGAGTTTTTTCGCCCCCATGAGCTGGCTGAACTATATACAATCAGAACGGAGCCGACATTAAATTTGATTAGACTTTTTTAAAGGTGGTGTTTTCACAGCCAGATTATTCATTTTCTCTCCGCTGGAAACACTCCGCAGCGACAGATAGACAGCGTGGGAGCGACGCAACGAACAAACACGAGAAGCCTCTGAGCTTTTCATTAATGATGTTTTTTTTTTTTTTTTTTTTAAACGATATCAGTGCTGCTAGCACACGTCTGCAGGATCAGGGTGACGACTGGGAATGTATTGTGAGTGTGAGAGAAAAGCAGCACATGGTCGTCACTCTGAGCGCTCCAGACAGTTGCCTGCTGTGTCCATGTGGACATTTTCCAGACTTTGTACCAGGTGGCTGGCTGGGTAAACTCTGCAGATATTAGCACTCTAACAGGCAGCTCAGCTGGACAGAGTCACTGTGAAAGCTGAAAGCAGTAGTTTAAATTATTATTATTTTTTTCTTTCTTTTTGCTGCTGTTGTACTGTAAGCAATAACATATCAACATGGAAATGAAAGTCCTAATTTCATTTAAATGTGAAATTGAGAAAAGATCGTCAATCAAGATTGTGATGCTGAGCAAAGGTAATGTGAGTAAACGTAAAATATTTGGTGTTTGAACGATTTAAAATAGGCAGTTCTAAGCATTTTTAGATGGAGGAAGTGGCAAGTATTCATAGATATTTCTTTTTTAGCTATCCACGGAGAGTTGTGGTCCCTAGCCCCCACAAATAATGCAGCGTATCAATGGAAAGTTGAGTAGAAGGAAAAAGTTACGTCCACATCCGCCCTCCCAGCATCAACGACCTCACGCCTTTTGTGTCTGTGACCTCTGCAGCTTTCCGCGGTTCACCCTGAGGACTGGGCGCGCTTCGCTCGCACGCTCATGGAGATCCGCGCCAACCGGGCGGACGGCGAAGAGGAGGGCCCTATGGAGCTGGCTTCATAGGAAGGGGACTCCGAAACCAAAGTGACTGCAGAGCAGGGAGCTGGTGCGATTCGGTTGGTCCCACTGTAGCATGTGATGCTCACTCAAGTTTTTTTTTTCCTTTCTCCGCTTTCGAGCGCACCTTAACGTCTGCTCAGAACAAAGGCAGAGCTTTTCTTGTGATTTTGCTCTGTGTACGTGTCTTTTAATTGTTTCTCTGTCTTTATTCATTTGCGTATTGACTTCAGGTGGTGTGTTGCTTGCATCTCGTGAGCCTACGGTATATATAGAGCGGCAGTATTATAGCCTTATGAAGATACGTGTACTGTGACAAAGCTTTGCACAGCGTTAACCAGTAAGGCAGGGTCATAGGAGTTTGTCATGCATTATCGTTTACATATATAAAAACGACTTTATGTTCGGCTTTTTTTTTTTTTTTCCTGTTGTTTTAAATCTGCACGATACACAAACTTAAAATATTCCAGATGCAGGAACCTCATTGTAGCCGCTTCATTTCAGTCCGTGCGTCCGGATAAGGAACAGGTGTGTTTTTTCTCTGCTGAATGACAGCTTCTGTGATGAACTGTGACAAGAGGTATATTGTAACTCAGAGTGATTGCTGTCAAATGTGCTATGTTTGCTATTAAAGCATACATAATAAACTGCTTTCTTGCTATTTTTTTTTTTTTTTTGCAGTCTCCTGGCAGGTAATAATACAACCAGCATATAGTGCAGTGTTTTTTTATTTACCGTAGACATATAGTTGTACAAGACATAAAATATAGCCTTGCTTTAACCGTCACCATAAGTCTATCTCTACGTTGGCTGCCATGACGCTGTGAGGCCTTCCCAGAACGGCTGTATGCATTTTGAGAATAAACGACACATCAGCGTCACTTCGGTTCACTGATTAAGTGAACTCAGAAGGCTTTTGGCGACACCGGAGATTTTCCAGAGGTGTCAGACTTAAAGGTGTGGAGTACAGAAATGTGAAAACTGAAAACCTTTCATCACTTTCCTTCCATTTCATTATTTGCTGGTCTGTCTCACAACATCGAGAATCAAGAATTGAAGTTTGAGTTTGTAATGTGACAACATATGAAAAAGATCTATCATTTTCTAATCCTTTGCGTGAAAGTAAAGTTCTGGATTTTTCACATAAACTATGTTTTTATTTTTATTTATTAGCCACAGGGTCATAACCTGTGTTGTGCAAAGATGTTAAAGTCATCCTTCGTCTCTTTACTCTGTGTATCCAAAAAGCCTAATTTTATTGCAATGTTTCTAATAAATATTACAATAGTTTAGGATTTTTAATTCTAAAATACTGATCTGACCCAATGCATTATCTGGCTTTCAAAATGTATTTTAGTTTGTTTTTTTTGTTTTTTTAATGAATAAGCACCCTTAACAGATCCCCCCAGTACTGTGCTGATGACGTTTCCGAGGCGTTCGAAGCGTTCTGCACATTGTTCTGTGTCTTGATGTTGAAAACAATCTTAAATCCAGGTGTTTTCCTAGCGGTTGCAGAAAACATCGCAACCTTTTCAAATAAATTTGTGTCAAAAGCTTCAAAAATGCTCAGTAAATCAGTAACCCTATCAGACTGATGTCTCGCAGCATTTGTCTGCGTTCAGTTGTTTCAGTCCTCCCATCCCTAGAGGTCTGCGTGCAGCTGCTAAAAGATTATAAATGCCGCTGTCCTCACAGTGCAGCGTGGGAGATGCAGTCCAAACATGCCAGCGAATGGGGCCGGGGCCAAACTGAAGCCTACGATGCGGTCGTGGTCGGGGAGCCTGTAGGCTGATCCCAGACTTGGGGGTAGGCTTGGAGCCAGCCGGCTCTCTGCAGCGAGAGGGAGATGAGGAGGAAGCTGGGAAGTACAGTCAGACGGAGGGAGGGAGGGAAAGCAGACCGAAATGGGAAATAGCACTAAGTGTGAACAGACGGCAGTTTTATTATCATTATTATTTTTATTTTGTCACATTTAGCACTCGCCGCCCACAGGAGTAAACATCCTAGGAATATTAACTGCCACCACATCATAACAGAAAATAAAACGCGGAACAGTTTAACATTTCTGCCTGAGAGCAAAGCTAAATCAAATCCCTCGCAGTTTTTGACATTTCACACCAAGCTCTCAGATTTGCTGCCAACCCAGACAGCGGAAGGAGCGCATCAGAACTCGGTCCAGACCGCACCGGACGCTCGGCGGGACCGGCGACTGATTTTATGCGAAAGTAACGTGCGAGCTGACGGATGCCGCTCGGCGCAGTTCGAGCTGTCCGTTAAAAAAAAAAAAAGGAGCGGCGGCTCCACTCGCCGCTGGACCTCTTTTTTAACTTTACGGCAGCAAACAGTGGCCTATTCTGAGCAGAGAAAATGTGCTTGTTCCAGTCAAATGGGTGCTGTCTGCCACTATGACATGCGGTAAAACTCTTCAGTTTGACAAAATGGGTCCAGGGCTCTGACTGAGAGCTGCAGTCTGTCAGCTAATGTGCTCAGAACTTATTTTTGGTCCTCCTGTGGCATTTAGTTCCCCTCGTGGAGGTAAAGAGGACGAGCTGCAAACCAGTTTGTGGTGGAATTTTGTTGATTGTTCGGGGCGATCGATCCGACAGGACATCCTGTCTGAGGTGACTCACTGAAAAGGACCTGATGTCACCTGAAGTCAAAGCAGAACCTGCAGGATCTTGGAGAAGAAAATTTGCTAAGAAGAAGAGTATTTCTGGCTGTTCATTTCGCAGCTAACTCAAACATAGTTACTTTACTACTATAATTAAATATTGGCCTATAATGCAGTTATTGTTGTGTATTTAGGGAGACGATAACAGAAAGAAAATTGCTTATTAGGCTTGCAGATATCCCCTTAGTGAGTCCAGCAATTGTTCCAGTACAGCCTACTGGTATCTAGGGCCTTTTCCCTCGCAGCAGTGGTTCACCTTCACTTCCTGTCTCTCCTCTGAGACAGGAAGCAGTCCACCATGCTGCTCGTGCTTTGTCCAGATCCCGTCGGGGTCTCCAGAGAGAGACGTCCTGGGAAGCCTTCGAGAAAAGTCCGAGAGCCTTTCTCTCCGAGAGTTGAATGTGTTTGATTCTAAATAGAGACGAAATTTACACTTCTCCCAACACAAATGAGATGATTCGCAGAGAGCGGCCATCAGCAATCGATTGAAGCCTCACATAGGATGGCGACTGCATCCTCATCGAGTGGTTTTAGTGCTCTTTGTTCCCCCCTCCTTTTCATGCGCGTCATATTGAATCTTGACCATCCTGCGCTAAGACCGCCACATACACAGACTGTACACAACAAGGGGGCCAGTTCCTATCGCTCCACCATCAACCAATCGAGGCCATTATTTAATCTCTACCTTTTTTTTTTTCCGCCTGCCTTTCCTCTCTCACTCCCCTCACTCGACTCAGAAGGCTCTAAAAGGACCCAGACAATGGACGGTAATGAGAGCAGTGCACACTGTGCCCCGCGTGCTGGCAAAAGTGTGACTGCGAGGCCCCCACATCCAGCCACTTCAGCCATGAATGGACCCAATCATCGATTGCTCGGTCATTACCATCAACTACCCTCTTCACGATTTAACTCCAACTTCTTGGTTTCCGCGGCGGCCAAACGAGCTATTTAGCAGGTCTGATCAACTCGGCGTTAGGTAGACTGACCACCTGCGCCGCTCCGAGAGAAGGAGAACCGGTCCACACCCGCCAGAGTACTTGGATTCATTTCTGGCTCTTTTCTCGGTAACATGGCCGCCGTGAGCCGGAGAAGGCCGTCACTCACTGGTAGACCGGATTAGCGCCCAGCTAAATATCGCTTCAGAAACCGAGCGAGTAATTCCATTTCCTGTGCCGCCGGCTGTACAACGTTAATTGTGAAATGTGGGTGAACGTGGGATGATACATCTGCTTAAATTCATGAAAGAAAGGGAAAAAAAAGAAGTAGCAAGGGTTGCTTCAGCCTGAGAGGCTGCCAGCTTTGTGTCGAGAAAGCACGGGCAAAAGAGGAGGAAGGATTTATGGTTTTTCCTTGTTGTGCCGTGCCTCTGCGTCAAAGGAGAAAGCACTGCTGACACATCCCCGAAGATTCAAAACCAACATGAAGAGGTTTTAAAGCCTTTTAAAGTGGCAGGGCAGTTATTAGAGCTTTTCTCCAATGATAATTTTAGCATTAAACACCCTTGGTCTGATGAAATCCCATAAACGGAGCTGTCGGGACATTAGTGATGCTTACTGTTCTAACTAAAACAACAGAGCACTTCATGCATGTTCATGTTTTTTTTTCTTCTTTTTTGTAACTTTTTGGCTAAGCATGAAGTATTTCCGAGCATATGTTGCGTGTGCATGTACAGTATATAAAAGGGATTGGAAACCCTTTGCCTCCGGCCTGTTTGGCAGCCATCTGAGGCGCTTCCCTGCAGCAGCGCTCCAAAACCCCAGACCCCAATCACTGAGCAGCACTCTAATTAGCAGCTACCGCCATGGAGCCTGCGGTCAGAGCGCTCGCCTTGCTTCCAAACTCTGAGCTCTGCTACTGTCGCTGCAAAGAGGAGGAGAGGTAAGAGCAGAGACCTGCTCGTATGATACCCAACAAAACGGGACTCGTGATTTCATGTCAGTCGGATCAGACCTTAGCGGAATCACAAGAAGACCCACTTTCACCATATCCACTGACAGCTAAAAGTGGCCATAGGTAACAATCAGGAGGGTGATTTTTAATTTTTTTTAACAGTGCTGCTTGTAAAGTCTGAGTTTGGTTTAACCATTTTAAAGGATCTTGAAAATTTGCACTCAATCTCTTTACTATGATCAGTACTGATAGCGCATTGCAAGAAGCATTCAAACCCTTAAACTTTTTCACATTACAAACACGAATCAATGCGTTTCATTGGGATTTTATGTGAGAAGCAAACGCACAGCAGCACGTAATTATGGAGTCGGTGGAAAACGTAAATACAGCGCATTGATCTGACGAAAAGAAAAATCTGAAAAATGTGGAACGCATTTGTATTCATCTCCATTTTACTCTAACAGCCTCTAAACACAATCTAATACAACCTGCACTTATTCGTCGTAATTAACACTTAATACACTCACAAATCACACCCTACTTATATTTACATATTTATTAGCAGGTGAATTGTACCAATCAATTGCCTGGGCTATCTTTATCTTTATTCTATTTATCATATGTCTTGAAATTGCTCCTGAGGGACAAATAAAGTTGATCAAATTGAATTGAAGAAAACTCAAATTGAATTCCCTTCCGAAGTGTAGTAGTAAACAGATCCCGCCTTGGTGTTATTAATGACATTTGTCAGAAAACATTCAAAAACAACACGATGAAGACTAAGGAAGTCAGCGTACAGGTCAGGGATTACGTTGTGAAGAAGCTTAAAGCAAGTTTTGGTATAAAAGAAATATCTTACAGAGCACTATTCAACAGAGTGCAAAACCGCAAACCAACTAAAACATGGAAACCTAGCGCAACTCTCGAGGAGTTGCATATATCTACAGGTTGGCAGGAGATTCTGTTGAGACATAAGCTCTTTGTAATGCACTCCACAAACGTGAACTTCACAAAGTGTGTGGTGTATAATTTGTGGTCGTCTTTAACATACTGGCGTAAATATGGTTGAAGAAAGCTCTGTAGACATGTA